AAAAAAAAAAAAAAAAAAAAAAATCACTGAAGCCAGATGCAGCCTCTCCCGACGCCAGCTGGTACACGGATGCCAGTGGGTTCCTAGAACACTCACCTAGCAGGGGAAGCCTGTACAAGAGTCCCACTCTCCAACCGAGTCCCATGCCCGGTTAATTTGGAGATAACATCTCCAAGAGAAATAATTCCAGGTGTTTTGGGTCCCCCAGATATATACTAGGGGCTCGATCCATCATGGCTATTATGTGGCTGTTTTCTGAGCTCGGCATTTCCTCCATAACATGAATCAACACCAAGAGCAAATTACGAAACACTTTGTTTTCAGTCGCCGCCCAGCTCTGTTCTGTGCCGTTCTCTTTCAGCACCGTCCCCTCACCCTGCCCAGGGCCTGGCACTCTGCCTTCCTCCTGGCAGCAGTGCCAAAGTACGTGCTAACACGGCTGTTGACTTCACATAGGCTGCCGCTCCCTTCCCTCCCCAGGAAAAAGACTTTAATCTTCCCAGGGGCTTTCTGGAAATCACACCTTAATCTGGATTCCAGAAAAGTAGTGCGTGCGTGCGTGTGTGTGTGTGTGTGTGTGTGTGTGTGTGTGTGTTTTTGAGTTGGAGTCTCACTTTGTCGCCCAGGCTGAAGAGCAGTGGCACGCTCACGACTACTGCAGCCTTTGTCTGTTGGGTGCAGATGATCCTTCCACCTCGCTGTTCCAGGTAGCTGAAACTGTAGGCGCATGCCACCAAGCCTGGCTGCTTTTTGATGTATTGAGGAGACGAGGCCTCACCAAGTTGCCCAGGCTGGGCTTGAAGTCCCGGGCTCAGGCAGTCCTCTGGCCTTGGCCTCGCAAAGTGCTGGGATGACAGGCGTGAGCCACTGCGCCCAAAGAGTGTTTCGATAGTGGTCATTTGGGTCACCGGGGCACACACCCCATCTCAGGATGTTGCCCTCAGGGGCTTGGTCCATGTGCAGATGCCAGCCTCAGGGGAGCCAGGGCGGCGCGGGATGGGAGGTTCCCGGCTATTGCTTCCTAGTCCTGTTCTTGCCTCTTGTCTCCAGGAGAGGCCCTGCCCCTGGCGCTGGCCCTGTTTGCGTTCGTTGGCTTCATGCTGATCCTTGTGGTTGTGCTGCTCTCCATCTGGAAAATGGGCCGGCTGCTCCGGTACTCCTGCTGCCCCTCGGTGGTCCTCCCGGAGACCCTGGTAATTGCATTATTTTCTTCTTTCAGTATGACACTGACCCGATGTATCGGGGGCCTTGGTTGGGCATGGGGCACCCGTTTTGTGGGATTACAGGCACCGGCACAGAGAAGGGAGAGGAACACTTGGAGGACCGCCCTTCTCACCAAAGCGACCAGGAGACACCTTCTTCCTCCAGGGCATGGTGACCTCCTGGAGGCCGGTCACCTTTCTTTTCCCCCAGGACCTGGCATGGCCAAGAGAGCAGATGTGTGGCATGAAGGCACAGGCCTGTGCAAGTTGCAGCGATTTGCGGGGCCAGTGGCTTTCCAAAAGCCAACTGCTGGCTCCCTCCTCCCAGGAGAGACCAGTGGGGAATCCCCGGGGAGACAGGGACAGGGCTTGTTTTCTTTGTTGTTATTTTGCCACCATGGCGTGGGTTCACAGGGCTGGGCCCCTTGGACCAGAGCAACTAGGAGAGACCAGGCCAGTCTCTCCCAGAAGGGTAAGACTGTGCATGACTGCTGTAATGCCCAGCATCTTGCTCTGCTGCCCAGGCTGGAGTGCAGTGGGACAATCATGGCCACTGCAGCCTTGACCTACTGGGTTCTGGGCATTTCAGCAGTCATGCACGGTCTTTCCCTTCCCGACGGGCCTGCTAAGCATTCCTGGCCCCTTCCCACTATTAAAACAGCAGCTAAACCCAGCAGCATTTCCAATGCAACATATTCGGTTCACACACCCAAAGCCTCATTGTTCTCAAGGTGAAGAACTTGTATATGACCGTGGGAGGCATGGACCATGCTTTGCCTTTGGTGGGGGGCGGGGTGAGGGGGCAGTCTGGACCGCCACAGTGACGACCCGAGTTGAGGGGTCTCCACCTATCTTTCCAGTTCCTCACAAGCCTAGGATTTCGTCTGACCCCTGAGGACATGGGACAGGTCTCTCCAGCAGGCCCAGCCCTGTGCACCCACGCCATGGTGGCAAATAACAAAATAACAACAAAGAAAAAAGCCCTGTCCCTGTCTCCCCAGGGATTCCTCACAGGTTTCTCCTGGGAGTAGGGAGTCAGCAGTCAACTTTTGGAAAGCAACTGGCCCTGCAAATCCCTGTAATTTACACATGCCTCTTCCTTCTCAGACTGGCCGCACTCTGGAGGGAGTCACTCCTGGGAGGTCTGCATGGTCCAGTTTCTTCCCCTACACAGGAGGAAGAATCCTCCTTGTCATCCAGTTTTGGGACACCCCTTCTTCACCCTGTTACCCTAATGCCAGCTCTCCTTTTCTCCCTTTGTCACATAATCCTAAAACCAACTTTAGTGGATACCAGTTCAGAGAGAGCGAAGTGCCACGTGCTGTGCTAAGGCATTGCATGTGTTGGAGTCTCACTCCGTTGCCCAGGCTGGAGTGCAGTGGCACCCTCACGGCCACCCCAGCGTTGACCTGCTGGGCTCCGGTGATCCTTCCACCTCAGCCTTCCAAGGAGCCGGAACGATAGGCGTGCACTACCATGCCTGGCTAATTTTTAAAAAAATCTATTGTAGAGACGAGGTCTTGCCAAGTTTTCCAGGCTGTTCTGGAACCCGCGGACTCAGGCAATCCACTTGCCTCGGCCTCCAGACTGAGCCACCAAGCTCGGCCTGCTTTTCCTAAAGCTTAGCAATGTCATTCTTGTTGGTTCTCCCTTTATGCTACTCCAAATCACTGAATGAATTACTGCTATACATAGAGGCAACTTGGTATAGCAAACACAGGGGACAGGGTGTCGTCTCCTTTGGCAAAACTCGAGGGGCTCGAAGTGCCTTGAAACATAAGAGGCTGCATATTCTGTCATTGTTGGGGTCGTGTTTTATAAACATCAATTAGGTCAAAACATTTCATAGTATTGTTCAGATTATCTTTGCCCTGACTGATTTCTTTTTCTTCTGTATCGTTGTTCTAATATTGAGGAAAGGATGTCAGAATTCCACTGTGAGTGTGGATGTGTCTGTTTCTCTCTTGATGCCAATTTTTCTTTCATGTATTTTGAGGCACTGTTTTATGCATATTCGAATTTTACTGGATGGGACTTCCTAAGTAACTGACTCTTTTATCATTAAGATACGCTCTTCTTTATCTCTGGTAATATTCCTTATTAGGACATCAATGTAGCCCTGATTTCTATACTGTTTGTATGGTACAAGGAGGGAGCCCCCCATAAAACCACAATTATCTTTTGGAGGGCAGATCCCTTATAGTATAGGCCTTTCCTGCTAGATAGGTGTTCTAGGAACCCGTTGGCATCAGTGTACCAGCTAGTGTTGTTGTGAGAGGCTGTGTTTGGCTTCAGTGAAATTTTTTTTAGAGATTCTTTGAGTGTGTTTGCCCATTTCATGATGGGTGATTTATGAGCATACCTGCCCACACCACACTGAGTGTTTCAGCAGTTTTTGACCCAAAACAGCATGAACTCCATGCCCCGTCTCCTCTATTTACCTGATCTTACCCTGAGCAATTTTGTTCCCCTGGATGAAAAATGTCTTCAAAGGGAAATGTTTTGTTCATGTGGAAGAGGTGAAACAAAAAAAATGGCAAAAGCACTAAAAGGCATTAAAACTGATGGGTTCAAAAACTGTTTTGAGCAGTTGAAAAAGCATCTCCATAGGTGTATTGCACCAAACAGGGAGTACTTTGAAGGTGACTGAAGTTGAAACATGTAAGGATAAATACATAATTTTTTATAAATGAATTATGGTTTTTGGGGGGTACTCCCTCATATATCTTTTAAACATATTTTTACTTTAAATACAGCTGTATATTCATATTTAAAATGTGTCTCTTGTAGACAGCATATAGTTGGTCTTTTCTGTTTTTTTAATTAATCCATTCTGAGAACCTCTGCCTTTTAATTGATGTATTTAGTCCATTAACATTTAATATAATGATTTCTGTGGTAGAATTTAGGTCCATGACTTTATTTTCTGTTTCTCCTATCTTTTTTCTCTTTGTTCTTCTTTTTCTGTCTCTTCTTTTCTGTTCTTCCTTTTTTGGGGGGGAGGGGTTAATTAAATATATATTTTTAGAATTGCACTTTGTCTATTGACTTTTTAGTTATTTTTATTCACATTTGGTCATGGTTGTTCTAGGAATTACATGGTTTTAACTTTTTTAGGCTACTTAGAATTAATATTGTAACACTTCCCATTAAATGTAAGAATCTTGTGATCATTTTTGCTTTACATAGCCATATGTGTTTTAAAGGTATGTAAAATAATCTTTTGTATTTACCCTCATATTTCCCTTTCTAGAGCTCTTTCTCCTTTTCTGAGATCTGCACTTCCATCTGGTTTTGAATTCATGTCAATTAAAAAAACTGACCATTTGAATCCTACGATGGATTTAGTAATGCAGATCTGCGAATCACAAACTCTCTTAGATGTCTTTGATCTGAAAATGCCTTTATTTCACTTTCAGTCTTGAAGAATATTTTTGTTGGATTCTTGGTTGCCAATAATTTTTTCTTATTACTTTAAGACTATTGTTTAACTGCCTTCTGGCTTATATTGTTTCTGATGAGAAAACAGCCATAATTTTAAACATTGTTCTCCTCCATAAAATGTGTTCTTTTTAGCTCATTGCCTTAAAATTACCTTTAGTTTTCAGCAGTTAAACTATAACATGTTGATATGTAATTTACTTTATATTTATCTTACTTATAGTTTATTGAGTTTCTTGAATTTGTAAATTTATATATATGCATTTTACTACAATTTGGAAAAATGTCAGCCATATTTCTTCAGATAATTTTTCTGTTGTGTTCTCTGCCCTCTTTCTGTGACTCCTATTTTACATATGTTAGACCTTTAGATGTTGTCTCCACAGATCTCTGTTTTTATTTTTTAAAAAACCCCTTTTCCCTTTCTCTATTCTTCAGAGTGGGTAATTGTATTAATCTGTCTTTTTGTTTACTGACTCTTCTGTTATCAGCAATCTGATTTTAAGCCTATCTAGCTATTTTATTTTATTTTTTTGAGAAACAGGGTTTCATTCTGTTGCCCAGATTGGAGTGCAGTGGCATGACCACAACTCACTGCAGCCTCAAATTCCTGGGATTAAGTGATCCTCCTGCTTCAGCCTCCCAAGTAGCTGGGATGACAGGTGTACACCACCATGCCCAGCTAATTTTTAATTTTTTTTTTTTTGTAGAGACAGGGTCTTGCATTGTTGCACAGGCTGGCCTTAAACTGCTGTGCTCAGGTGATCCTCTCACCTTGGCCTCCTAAAACCATGGGATTACAGGCAAGAGCCACCATGCCTGGCCATATCTAGTGATTAAAAAAATTCAGATATTGTATTTTTCTTTTTTGTGAGTCAGAGTCTCACGATCATGGCTCACCATATCCTTGACCTCCTAGGCTCAGGTGATCCTTCCACCTCAGCCTCCCAAGTAGCTGCCACCATGTCCAGCTAATTTTTTGATTTTTTCTGATGAGGTCTAGCTATATTGCCTGGGCTGGTCTGGAACTCTGGGCTGAAGCAATCCTCTCACCTCAGCCTTGCAAATTGCTAGGATTACAGGCATGAGTCATTGTACCCAGTAGATATTATATTTTTCAACTCTAAAATTTCCACTGGTTTCTTTTTTCTATCTTTTCTTTCCTTTTTTTTGAGTCGAAGTCTCACTCTGTTACCCAGGCTGGAGTGCAGTGGAAGGATCACAGCTCACCACAGCCTTGACCTCTTGGGCTCAGGTGATCCTTCCACCTCAGCCTCCCAAGTAACTGGGACTACAGGTGTGTACCACCATGCCCAGCTAATTTTTTGATTTTTTCTAGAGATGAGGTTTCACTCAGTTGCCTAGGCAGGCCTCAAATTCCTGGGCTCAAGCAATCCTCTTGTCTTGGCCTCCCAAAGTCTTGGGATTGCCAGCATGAGCCACTATGCCTGGCCTGTTTCTTTTTTTTGAGTTGGAGTCTCACTCTGACGCCCAGACTGGAGTGCAGTGGCCG